CCTGTACGAAAATGTTAATATCTCTCTACTCCGAAGTCGTATTAACGAACGGTTTGTTGCGTTAGAAACTAGACTCATAGACCTTCAATTTGGTAGGTAGAACACACCATAACTCCCAGTATATTGAGAGAAAAGGTCATCAACATTATATCCAAATTTCAGTGAAATTTAAACCCGTAACTTGCGCGCGATCTTTGTCGAATTTTTAATCACAACTCAAACGACTTCCAATCTTAACGTATAACTATTGCATCATTTAAATATCTCATAGAAATTATCTTCCTATCGAATTATCCCATTTATGGCATGATAACGCCGAATACACAAGGTGTAACATTCTCCCCTCCTTAAGAACATTCGTCCTCGAATGTTAACGGTTATTCTAACTTCTGAATTTTTAAAATTTCGCCAGAGTTTCCCCTATAAATATGAATATCCAAAACCTGTCATCAGCCCAAACATACATATCTAAGGCCACACAGGGCTACACATCATAATAATAACATCAACTTGGCCTCACCCGACCATTTACTTATACAATAATGATAATAAGAAGGTTAGCCATAACTTAATTACCTTAACTGTCACTGGTTGATATATGTGCAACACCTGCCATGTTTGTCTCAGGCATATCACCTGAAGACTCAAATAAATGAGGGTATCTGGACTTCATGTCCTCCTCGGCCTCCCATGTCATTTCCTCTACATTATTGCTCCTCCAAAGTACTTTTACTGAGGCTACCTCTTTAGTCCGTAGCTTACGGATTTGACGGTCAAGAATGGCAATAGGTATTTCTTCATATGACAAGTTCTCGGAAACTTCAATATCCTCGATAGGGCTGATGCAAGAAGGATCACCTAAGAATTTCCGAAGCATGGAAATGTGAAATACCGGATGGATTGCTTCTAATTCTGGTGGCAGGTCAAGTTTGTAGGCTACTCGCCCAATTCTCTGAACAATCTGATATGGCCCAACATATCTAGGGCTGAGTTTTCCTTTCTTACCAAATCTCATTACACCCTTCATAGGCGACACTTTCAAGAATACCCAGTCTCCTACAGCAAATTCTAAGTCTCGACGTCGGTTATCTAAATATGATTTCTGTCGACTTTGAGCTGTACGCAACCTTTCCTGGATCAACTTTATCTTTTCTACAGCTTGTTGTACCAATTCAGGTCCTAGCAACTTTGTCTCGCCAACATCAAACCAGCCAATAGGAGATCTGCATTTCCTCCCATATAGTGCCTCATAAGGTGCCATCTGAATACCGGCGTGATAACTGTTATTGTAGGCAAACTCAATAAGCGGTAAATGATCTTCCCAACTTCCCTTGAAGTCTAAGACACAAGCTCGCAACATATCTTCGAGTGTCTGAATAGTGCGTTCGGCTTGTCCGTCGGTCTGCGGATGAAATGTTGTACTAAGGTTAACAAGAGTACCCAAACCTTCTTGAAAAGACCTCCAGAAATTAGCTGTAAATTGGGCACCTCTGTCAGATATAATAGAAAACGGAACTCCATGTAGCCGAACTATTTCCTTGATATACAGGCTCGCATAGTCTTCAGCTGAATAGGTGGTCCTAACTGGGAGAAAGTGAGCTGATTTCGTCAGCCTATCCACAATGACCCAAATAGAATTGAACTTACGGCGAGAATTGGGCAATCCTGTAATGAAATCCATATTAATCGATTCCCATTCCAAGCTGGAATCTCAATATTTTGAAGTAGCCCTCCAAGTTTCTGGTGTTCAGCTTTAACCTGCTGGCAGTTGGGACACTGAGCCACAAATGTGGCTATATCTTTCTTCATGCCGTTCCACCAGTATAGCTGACGAAGATCATGATACATTTTGGTTGAACCAGGATGAACTGAGTACCGAGACTGGTGCATCTCTGTCATAATTTGCTTACGAAGCTCCCCAACATTAGGTACACACCATCGGCCTTTATATTTTATAATTCCATCATCAGATTGCTCGAACAACTGCTTCTTCTGAAAAGAGATACTCTCTTTAATTTTGACCAACTCCGGATCCTCAAATTGACGCGTTTCTACCTCAGCTACCAGTGATGACCCCGCAATATTTTGGACTACTACACCCTGGTCACCTGTATCATGTAGCCGTACACTCAGGTTAGCCAAT